TATATATATATATATATATATATGTACGTATTTATGTAGAAATGTTTGCACGTAATAAGTAATAACATACTTTTTACTATACAAAAGTTCCATATCTGTACCCTTACTCAAAGCATGACTCACAAACTGTATACAATGATCTGTAAGTTTAGACAATTGATCCAAAGCGATCTTCTTTTCATTTAATGTATTTTGTTTCTGATCGCAAACTTCATTTAAGCGCATGACTAATAATTTACCTCTTGTATTAATAGCATTTGTTAATCTAAAACAAAAATCAACCATGGAAACAATCTTTTTAATAAATATGAACAAATAAATCTTATCTACTTACTGTACTACCATCTGAGTTATTTCTTGAACTAAAGTCTTTTTTTTTTCCACAATTAAAATTTGTCTATCTTCTATAACTTTCATAGCACTTCGTAATAAGACTCGTTTATAACTAAAAATAATTTTAACAGTTAGAGTAAGTCATAAAAAGAAAAAAAGATAAAAGAAACACATTTTGAATGTATAATGTTAAATTAATTCAAATTGACGTATTATTAAATAAAAAGACATAGACACGATAATACCTAACTTCCTTTAAAAGGGTTGAGACAGAAGATTTTGTTTCTGTAGCAATTTCATGAATAAATTTATATTTATGGTCACGATGATCACTTAATTGGCAATCCCTGCAAGTTAATCTATCGCAGGTCTGACAAAATAAGGACAGTTGTTCATGGGAATGAATAGTACAAAATAAACAACCAGGTATTTTTTTAATACCCTTTTTAATATTATCTCTGTCATTTGCAACTTCTTCCTTTGGTTTAATTGTATGATCTTTTGTTATCTTTAGCCTTTGATGAGCCTTAAATAAACACAAAATTTGATTTTCATCTTTTAAAAAATTAAACGAATATATAAAACACATCAAATAATACATTTATCTGACATATATTAGAGGATAGAATAATCACCATGACGCAGCTTTGACAAATGAATTCTTCGCATTCCACACACCAACTAGTAGCAACAGCATTATCGTGACAGCTAGTACATTTTTTTTCTTCTTCTGTTTCTATAGATTCGTCATCTGTTCCCATATTAATATCTTCTTCAATAATCTTTGAAATAAATCTATTCTCAATTAAATTTTCTATTTGACTGGTAACATTGCAAACTTGACAAGCAATAACATTGCTCTCCACTAAAAATATATAAATATATATTGAATGTAGTATATAGAAAATTTAGGTACATAGGTAGTATGCACACTGCATATTTCATGCACAATGTACCACATAGCATCAAGTATTATACTACTTGTATGTGCTGCACATTTACTTTTAATAAATTTCAAGATAATCTAGAAATAATTATGACAAAATCACACTTTGTAACAACGATACTTACATAAAACATCAACATCACCAGATGTGTTATGATCTGCAATTTTATTATTAACACATGTAGTACAAGCTGCATGTAAACACTCCAAGAGTTTAGGATCATCGCCGATGGTAAATGTTTTCCCACAAAATACACATTTGGATAAAAGTGCTCGAGTTTCAATCTCTTGAGATTCTGTGGTACATTCAATACGCTGCTCACATTCTTTTTCTGTACAAATCGGTTGTATTTGGGACTGCTGTACATCTGACTTAGCATTGTTTTGATCTAAAGGTTCTGTTTTAACAATTACTTCTGGTAAATTTATTTGTTCGTTATTTTTGGCTTCCATAATAGTAACAAGCAACAATGTATGTTCTATAGAAATAAATACTTCCATTATTTATAAAATTAATTAACAATAAACTGTACTTATCATTATTCTTCATTTGGACAATTAATAACTTACTTTTCTGACAGCATGTACTCAAATTATAGCAGGAAAAGACACTAATTTGAGGCACTCTTTAATATGTTACTATACTAAGTTGTTCTTATTGTTTTAAAATTATATAAAATTCCACTCCAAAAAAATATATTACAAACACATGACAGAATTTTAGAGATAAAAAGAATGTAGTTTATAGTATTTTAATTATAAAAGCATAAAAAAATTACTATTCATCATAACAAAATACATATGTATATACTAATAATTCCATATATATATATATAAACGTATAATTAATACATGCCAGACGTAATTTTTATTTTTAAAATATTAGATTAAAATTATATCTAATTACCAAATATCTTTTAACTTTATTTATTAATAAAGAATTATTAGTTAATCTCAACACTTATTACAGAAATGTAGACACTACTATGTGCTCAACAAACAGTAAAGAAAGGTTATGGAGTGGTAAACTCAATCTTACTTCAGAGGGCAGAGCAAAAGTTGGACAATAAGAGTAAAAGAGCAAAAGCGAAGAAGATAGAATATACAAGATGTCTAAGGTTTCCTTGTATGTTTCCTTGTATTCTATGCTCTAAAATAAAAAAAAGAAAAGGTTATATAAACATAGGTCATTTAAAGCCTTATTCAAAAGTTATAATTTAAATTGTAAAACTTATGGCGTTTCTGTCAACTCCCGCTAGTAACGTCAGATAGCAGCTCGATCGACATAGAGGGCATTACGAGCGTTAGAGGTGGCGACATAACCACTAGAGGAGCGGACGCTAGTTTCGCTCACTCAGTCAGTCTTCCTTCGTCCATTGAGTCAGTTAGATCGCTACGCCTACGCCTTGCCGCATGCGCACGTTTGAAAGGCACATGTGTAAACACTTTGTATAATTTCTGTTATTGTTGTTGAGTGGAATAAATATTACCAAACATTAATCACCAGTGGCGTCCTACTTATTGGCTGTGGCAATAAACTATCTAAATGTACTGTTTAAAATTTTGCTCTTCTACACGAATACAAGTTTGCCACTCTACTGTTTCTGACATGATGAATTTCTCGTCGATTTTTATTAATCCTTACAATTGCATCTCTATTTCGTTATATCATGACATCTCAAGTATAGTTATCTTAATTGCATAAACTTCTTGATTTACTTCTCCTACAAATATGTGCGTTTTATTGTGTTGTTCTGTTAGAAACGTACATTTCTTTAATATAGTGTTTACATTTTTATGTTATCATGATTAAAAAATTGGGAATTTTATGGGATTACAGACTGTAACTATTCAATATTACATTTTAATTATTATATTAACCATTAAATTAATGCAAGCAAAACAATATTAACAAAAAATTTTAAAAAAGAACTCTGTAAAAGCTAAGTCACTAATAAATTTAAAAGATCCCTACTAAATTCTCCATTTTACTGAAATCCTCATCATTTTACCATCTTCAAATTTTAAGGATTGGAAAGAGAAATTTGCGTCAAAAAATCTTTTAAAAATTGAATATAAGACACTTTTATCTTATAATGAAAAGTTTCTTTTACGAAATTTTTTAAACCGTCTTTGACATCTTTGATCATCAATAAAATTTCATTAAACACATATTAAATTTTAATATAGCATCAGCTGCTTCTCTCCTCATCTGAAATTCACAAAATATTTAATGCCTAGGATGCTACATACTCTTTATATGCCATTTTGGTAATCACGAAATTTAAAAATTTTTAATAGGAAAACTTTTAACGCAAAATATTTACATACTTTTTTAAACACTTAATTTCTCAGTTGAAACATAAAATATTAGCATTAAATTAATAAAAAAATGACTACAATACTATTATGAAGTTCATTGATTTTTATGACAATAACGGTTCAGTCAAGTAATTATATAAGCATTGATTTTGAATTTCATTAGAGAATTTTTTCTTCGTTTTTATAATATTTATAATATAGATCGCGTAAAACACAGTGTAACAGTCCAGACCGGAAAGTGGTATAAATAGTCATTCATTTTTTATGTTGAATGGCGTCTAACGTGATAGGCTGCTAATGTATGGCAAAATATTTTCCTATTTAGATACACAAATTACTGTTGTAAATATAATAATTATTAATGAGTTACTGTTAGATACTTATTAATTTATCTTATAAAAATACTCTGTAAATTAAAAAATAAAAGAGTGTTTATTTGATAAACATTATAATTTTTAATAGATTCAGTTGATATTGAATATATAATAATTTTAAACATAATAATTTTATGTTGGTATATAATATAAATTATAATGTATTATTTAACGAAGGTAAGAATAAAGGAAACTGTCGGAGAATTAAAACATAAACAAGATTGTACTTATTTTTAAATAAGAAAAAAAAGTACACAGAAGTTTTATGTTATATATTTAATATTATATTATATAAGTTTGATATTATTTCCTTATACAGATAAGCAATATATTTGTTATAAGGCTACTCAAATATGAAACTATAAATGGTATGCTATTTATGTTTATTTTGAGTTAAACTAAAAAAATGATAGAAAAAATAGTTATATCTCTGTTTACATTTGTCTTTTATAATAT